TCTTTCCCTTGTTAACTTTCGTCATTCGGTCCATAGTTTAAGATATCAAAAGAAACATTCATTAGGACAGAGAGACAACCTCATTATTGCTTTTACCAATCATACTTTTATTTTTGGTCAGGACCATTCAAAGAATGAATGACGATTTAAGTTACTAGTTATGAATGCCAGTATTTTGCAGAATCATAGTTATTTCATGATTTGACTATTATAATGTGAAGAGAAAAAAAAAATACCCACCGATAATTGAAATTTACATGCATCAAATCAACACCACATTTTAAACAAGCCAAATCCGTCATGACTTGACTATTATAATGTGAAAACAAAGAGAATGAAACACATTATACTCTACACGCGTACCAAATACCTTTTAGGATTTGTTTGGTTACAAGAAAGAAATGAATTTTAATGGAAGGGAAGAGTCAGAAATTTTATTTGATTGAGGAACCCAAATAAGAGGAGATAATTTTTTTCTTGTTTGCTTCATAAAAGGAGAAAAAAATTAAAAATCAATATCCTTTTATATCTTTATAATTTTAAATTTAAAAACTTAAAAGATATTTTAAACACTATTAAAAATGGTTTACACCTCTTCTTCCCCCTCCAAATTCCCCCGTACGGGAGGGACTAAAATTAGATGAATGCTCCTTTCCTAAAGATTGAACGAAAGAAGAAAAATCATGAAACTGCCTTCCGTCCACTCCATTCAATTCCAACTAAAAACCATGACAATCACGATTTTATTCAACTTTAAGAAAGAAATAATTATACTGACCAAGATCAACACTGCACCAATAAAAACAATTTAATTCAAAATGGGGCCCCAAGCCGTATAGACGAACAGTCACAAAGCCTTGTGCCATATTTAAAATATCGCAATGCAGTCTGCAAAATTTACTTAGTACACTTTTGCTCATCAATGTAATATAGCAAACTTCCAGTCAAAGAAATAATAAAACTACTGAACTGAAAACAAAATCTGAAAAGCAAATTTAGTAGTGATGTTTTCGCATCAATCAGGAGGGAATCGTCACCGGATCCCAACAAAAAATTGGTATACCTAATAGGGCATACCAAATGAGTTGAATAAAACATATCAATGTGCATTTCGGCTCAAATTACAAATAGTGAAAACAAAAATATATAAAATCTATCACATTAGCCACCGAATTCCAATTCATCCAAAATATCTCCATGCATCATCAAAGTACTGAAAGCAGTAGCATAATGTTATCTTAACCAACTACCTGGAAAAATGAAAGACACCAAACCTCCAAAAGAAATTCAGATCACGGCACAACTTCACAATGACTAAGAAACATGAATCAAACAATAAAATTAGACATACAACTTATAAGGAATATAATTGAATATTCCTTATATCTAATAAAAATAGCAGTAGTCCAATATAATTTCAACCAAGCATCAGAGATAAAAATAAAAACAAAAATGATTCAATGCAGCTGAATGCTAATTAAGCTCAAACAAAAGCCATGCACAGCATTAATAACTGGAGTATCCAAGCATGTCATATTGGCTAATGAGAAAAGAAACGTGCAAGGGATGGCTTGTCTGAATACTGTTTTTGGGGAATTTTTATTTTCAAAAACTAAACACAGAATCTGTTTGGGTGTCTATTTCTTTTACCTATTAGTTTTCAAAACATTTTTTCTCGTAATCTGTTTAGAGCAGAAAATTGAAAACACACTTTAGTTGTTTGTGTTTTCTTTAAAAAAAAATTTAATAAATCTTCTATTTTAACTTCAGACTACCATGGCCATGGTTATCAATCTCGAGTGATAACTCGTAAACTCGTTACAAGATTGGTTGGCCATTTTGAGTAATTCCGGGTAATCTCAAGTAATCTTGCCATACCTCTATGTCATGCATGCTGATTTTCTCCTTCGCACTATGCATTCTAGTTTTCTCCTCCAAGTCGTGAGCCCAGGTTCTCTCCTTCGCATTCTCTTTGCACTAGGGTTGCTCATTCTTTGTAGTGAAGGTTCTTTCTTTCCCCTTTCCCTTCTTTTAGTTTTTTATTTACTATCATTTTATTTTTAAGAACTTGTGAGTTGTGTCTTGTGCAAAATTATGTATTTGCCACTAAAATTTGTTACTTTATTATTGTAATTTTTACTATTTTACTTTAATATGAAGTTAAAATGTTAGTTATTATGTTATTTATAAATAATATTTTAACATTTTTTATATTAAGTAAACTCTTACAAGTTTACGATTTGAATTTACGATACGAGTTTACGAAACCTCTACGAGATTACGTAAACTCTCGAGATTGACAACCTTGACCATGACCACTACCATCATCACTATCACTTCTGCTGGAGTGCCTTCAAGCTTTCACAACTTATCCTCAAAACAAAATTCATCAAGCAGATCCTCTATTTCTGAATCACCATAAACCATACATGTCTTCCATTGCATTCCTTTCCTCAAACAAGTTATTTTTTAACTGAGTTTCAGTAATTCAGTTAACATAACTAAGAACAGCTTTCATAGCTTTAAACTGAAAGATGTAGTCATGTAAGGTACTCAACAATATCCATATGTATGAATTTTCAGAATCAAATAATGCAACACAGCTTTACCTGCTCATGATGATATATTACAGATAAACAGTGGTACCTGCAATAAATACGACACCAAAACTCCACCAAATTTTGATGTATATAAGGTCAACTTAGAGGAATAAACATGGAATTCAAATAACCACAAAAGCTCATACTGCATGTGACAGTGAACTATGAGAAAATTAAACCCAAAATAAATAGTATACAAGTGCTGGATGATCAATTCTACATGGTGTTTTTCAGTTCTAAAGATAAATGAACCAGAATAATAAAAACAGAAGCAAAGGCAAGCCAGTTTTATAGGTTCTTGGGAGCACAAGTAATCAAGCTTGGGAATTAAGGTAAAATGGACATGGCCAATATCAATAGTCTCCAAGTTTGGTCCTCTAGGTAGATGCGTCAGGGTGGGCCATATGTTTGTCAAACCCTGGTTCATCAGGTCTTCAGGTTTAGGCAGTAGGCAGGCTGCGGGCTTCATAGATCTCAGCTGTTTGGGTGGTAAGGAAAGGGAACAAAGGGAAAACAAGAGCATCAGAATTCTAAACGGGCATCGGTCAGGTTAAGATATCAATCTCTTATATACTAACGGCACTGTTCTAAATTATAAGAAGTTGTCAGATAAAAGATAAATGCATTTGTGAAAATTGCATTCTACCTGCCAAGACCCATTGAGTTTAATAAGCATGGTTTCTCCTCCTAGAAACACCACCCTGACTTGACAACCTGGAAAAATGTACTAAATATCAGAATTGATGAATTCAGGAATACTCAAAATAAAATATCATAAGAGTGGCCTATTCGCAAGGCAGAAAGGAAAGAATTAAGAAACTAGGAATGTAAAGTAACTTTTGACACTGGAAATCGGCAGTCAAGAAAATATTTCAAAGCAGTGGTTTAAAATCATGAATGGTGATTGACTTGATCAAGGTATTAGATTAGTGAATCACTAATTGAATCACACGTATTGATATGAAATTAAATATATAATTTTAAATTAAAGATATACTATAATAATTTTTTAAGTCATATATGTATCAATTATGTTGGTTCAGAGGTTACTAATAAGATTTTAAAGATCCAAAGCCACTTGAGTTCGAATCCTACCTCACCCAAAAATTCTTTCATTCTAAGCAAGAAAGATATGGGAAAATGCAAGGGTGGTGTTGGGACACGTGCACAGCAGCAGAAGGGACAACCCAAACATGGGAATTTCAAACGTCAAAAAAACAAATAAATAAACTGGTCCAAGTTGTAGCTCACCTGTTCAATGGTTCATCCAAAAAAACCAGCTAAGTCACACTGGGTTGATGGCATATCTGGTCGAATAAGAGGCTGGACCACCCAGCCCACCGTTTCCAGTTCAATAGATTCAACCAAGTGGTCCAAGTCATTTTTTAAAACACTGTTTCAAGGTAAGGATGTTTTCCAAGAGGATATTTAACTTTAAAATATTTTAAAAGGCTGATAAATCCTCTCATAATATAGCCCCCTCCTCTATAATTTTGCAAATTGTAAAGCTATCAATTTGACACTACGCCCATGAGCTAACCCATATGACCCACTATAATTGCCCACTTAATAAGGGGGGTTAAAAGCCTCAACCCACACAACCCACTTAATAAGGAAGTTAGGATAGGACTTAACAGTCATTAAATTTGTCTTCTAATTCCTTATCAAGAAACAAAAAAAGAAGATTTGTCTTGTATTTTGGGCTCTGTGCATCTTTGGACTGAACCTTATTTGACTTGAGACCGATTCAAAATTACTGGTTAAGATGAATAACTCCTACCGACTAATCTATGTATTTGATAGTTTTAATTCATAGTTTTTCTCATTTATCTAAAAGATTGTACGTTATATGAAAGATAACTTTATTCTAAATATAATCTGGTGGGATTAACTTTTTAATTAATATTTTTTAATACAAAGTTAGAAATTAAAATATTGTTTTAAGAAAAATTAAAGAGTATAAATTGAATTTTATTTATAAATAATATTCATTAAAATTACACTTATATTGTATTTGAACATGATTTTGAAGTAAATATTACTTTTCTATCAAAGCAATATGTAATTTATAAACTATTAGTTTAATTTTCATTCCTAACACAATTTAGTAATTATTTGAGATTATGAGAAATTCGTAATATAGAATGTAGATAATACTTGTAAAATCATTTTCACAATAATAAATACACATAATCTAAATCCCACAATAAGGAATACATTATGCTTTCCATATTTCTTTTGTAGCAACAACACCAAATCTTTGACAGATCCACAGTATTTAATGCTAGGTTTATTTAGGTTCTAGAGAATTCCACCTTTGCCTAAATATAGGGCAAGTCTATGTAATCTAACCAAACAGAGTTTAATTAATACAATTTCTTTGCATGTTTTTTAACTTGTTACTCAGTGTTCTCATGACAATACCCAACTTATTAGAAGTTTTCTCCTTTTGTGACACTTGTTCCCATCGATTGTGTCATCATGTGATACTTGTTGTGAGTACCTCCGCATGATTTCAATTGAGTTTTTGATGTCATAAAGCATGTCATCTACAATATCCGTATCAGAATGCTATCAAAGTTTACTTGAAATATTGGATATAATATTAATTGTATTTAAAATAGATTTATCTTGGTTTAGTGATTTATTTTAAAACTAAAAAATACAAGTTGGCTAGTTAGCCCATGGAGTGAGTTAGGCTAACTTTTTAATAATAAATAAGTTTTGTAAAAATTTTAAGGAGCCCTAACCCACTGGACTTTGTGGACGTTTTTGGCCCTCACCAATATGGGTCAAGGCAAAAGGGGCTGTGCTGGGCTAAATTGACAGGTCTAGCAAATTGTAACGATGGAGTAGATATTAGTTTCTGTAGATTGGTACACTAAGCATTTTCTGTAAGAAAAAAATGCTAAGTACCAAACAATAGAATATAATTTGTGGACTGGAAACAAGCACCAAAAAATAAAAGGGGGAATAATTAATTTCTAATTTTTTTTTAAATAAATGCACTGATAAACAGGCACAAATCAAATCTACATTACTGTAAAGTTATTAGAAGCTTCCATAACACAAGTTTCAAACAGGGTTGATAGTAGAACCCAATCATTCAGTCCTTAAAATAGATTAGAGCAGAATCAAAGATTCAACAAAGAGCAGTATTAGTTCATCTTAAAGCTGATAAATTATATTCATCTAAAAGATTAAAATTACAAGGATGAAATAAAAGATAAATAAACCCCATGCAAGAAGTTCATCAGGAAAGATTTATTCCCCAGCCGTACTAGGCCGTCCCAAAGAATAACTTCCATAAGCTCCATAAGCACCACCGCTTCCAAGCTACAGATGTATGAAACAATATTACAAACATGGAACAAAAAAACAGTTTAAGAACTTGAAGAACTCAGGAATATGTAAATATTATCGTAAACTCATGTCTGACTAGCTAGAAGTACCTGTGAACCACCATAGCTTCCATAAATGTCACCAGCTGCTAAATCACTTGAGCCTCCATATCCACTTGAATATGAATGTCCACGTCCATGTTTTTTACCATCTCTACCATCATAGTTTAGGCCATCTGATCCATCTGCTGAAACAGGGAGATATGGCAGAACTGGAAGGAATGCAGAGAGAGCACCCTCCCTATCAAAAAGGTTTGCTCTCAACCGTGTAAGTACATGCACTAGAGCATCTTTGGCAACATCAAGGTCTCCTGAAATCTAATAAGTAGGGGGTTGGGGAGCCAATGTTATAGCACAGAAATGTTAGGGCTTTCATCAAAGACAATATTAGTAGACCAAAGTATGAAAGTACCCTTACCTGCACCATTTCATCATCTTCAGAAGCAATCTTTGGAAGATTTTCCTTCGAAATAATGCGAATGTTAGCTTTTGTAAGTCTCCTCATCTCAGTTATGATAGATCCCCCTTTACCAATAAGACAACCAATTCGTGAGGTTGATACCAGCAGACGGGTAGTGAAAGAGATTATTCCTGAATCTCTTTCAACCTTCTCACTGCATCGAGGTTGCAGACGCACAGCAGCTTCTATTGTTGGAGAGAAAGTCTCTTCAAAGAACTGCATTAGCACAATTTATAAATATCATAAAATGCACAGCACAAAGCACACCAATAAAAATACATTTATAAGGCAGAAAAAATAGGCCAATGGGTGATCAAAATTTCACCTCTTTTGTTGAAATGGTTATTAAGCATTCATCTCCTTCTGTTGTTGAACTATCAACTTTGATGGCTGCACCAGAATCCTGCCTAATTTGATTTATTATCATACCACCTTTTCCTATCACACCTCCAATGTTTCCTGCTGGGCAAACCAAACGAACTGAAAATTCCTTTGAAGATGCCTCATCCCTTGGAGTTGAGTACATGGACCGTGGCGGCCAGTCACCAGTGTTACCTTTATATCCCCCATAAGCACCAACATGAGGAGCTATCCCCACAAGTGGAGCTCCTCCAGTTGGACCAATGAGTGAACCACCAGCAGGATATACACCAGGAACAACAGAAGTAAGAAGATGTTGAGTTCGTGAAGGGTTATCATGAAGTCGAGATGCAATTTGGTACAGAGCCCTTTTCACAACGGCAGCATTCCCAGTAATCTAAAGTTTCAAAAACCAATAGAAAACACATTATAAGCAAATATTTACAACAATTTCAACCAGATTCAACAGTATCAAGAAATTCACATGACAAAGAAAATTCAGGTATAAAACTGGTCAATCAAAACTACTGTATTACAAATTACGATGTTTGGAATAAATAAAGCCAGCCAGATGGCAATTTATTTACTTCCTTGATAAACAGTTAACTGATAAATATAAAAAATAAACAAATAAGTAAAAACTGAAAAGGCTCAGAAAATGAATGCAATTCAAACAAAATCTAATCCAGTTTACCTGCACAAGCTCATCAGAGCTCAAGGCACACAAAGGTAAATGCTCATCCTTAAGTATTCGAATCTGAGCTCCTGTTTCACTACGTATGTTCTGAACTATCTGCCCACCTTTTCCAATAACACAACCTATCTGATCAGACGGCACCAGCAGTTTAGCAGTTACTTGGTGACCCCCATCATCATCCTGATCTCCGTGCAAGTCATCAGCAACCAACCTGTCATGCACCTTAAACAGAGCATCCTGAGCCGGCGACACATAATTGTCGCCACCCTCAACAGCATTAGTCTCATCACTGGAACTATAAATAGTAACCACGCGCTCTTCACACCCTGGCACAGTCTCACCAATTCTAACCTTGGACTTAGTCTCCACCCTCAGTTGCTTAACAATCTCACCTCCCCTGCCAATAACACTGCCAATCTTTCGACCGGGGCAAACATAACGAAACACAGTATCCTCCGGATCAATCACAAACTGCTCTTTCTCATCACCTTGATTCCTCCTTTTATTTGGCCCATTATCATGGTTAGATTGAGAGTGGGGACGCTTACCATACCTTTGACCACCCATCACAGCAAATTCTCGATACCAACTTCTAAATCAAATTAAGAGTTTCCACGAGAAGCTAGATATTCTGCAAAAGTCATACACCCAGAATCTTAAATAACAACACAAACAATCTAAACTATGATAATATTCAAGAAATTAAACAAAAACTATAAACTAACCAAGACGCTCAAAGGATAAAATTTGGGGGTGAATTCTTAAAAAGATTAACAAATATTGAAGGATATGCCAACATAAACTCACATATTGCGACAGAAAATTCAGATCCATTCTATGAGCATGAACTACAGGTGGAAATTAGGCAAAAAAGTCAACGTTTAGGGTTCGGCCTTGGTTATTATTTTGAGTAAATTCCCAAATCAAGAGGCAATCGGATTGAGAATTCAGAATGAAAAGTTTAATGGGATGAGATTAAATTTGTTAAAAAGGAAAAAAAAAAATCAAACAAAAAATTAAAAGGTGATGGGATCTGATGAGAGAAGATGCGATGCTTACATGGTGGGTTTGGAAAGAAGGCAGAAGGAAAGCCGTCGTTTGAGAAGATGCGATGCTCTATGAGTATACTTTAGGTTGTTTGGGTTTATTTTTATATATATAGAGAGAGAGAGCGAGATATTTCAGAATATTTTATGTATTTTATCTTTCACTTAAATATCTTTTTAATAGTATTAGTGGTTTTGATTTTAATTCTTATTAAAAAAAATTATTTTTCATCTAAAAATTAAAATTTCTATTTTTAGTATCTAAAACTATGTTATTAGAATAATCAAAATTTTATAAAAATCTGCATAGTATAATCAGAATCGGGATGTTGCAATTATATGTGATTCCAAATTTTAGAAAAATAAAAATCAAAGAAAAATTTATAAAATTAAAATGAAAATTTATTCATTTTATAAAAGTTAAAATATTTAAGCATTTTATTTTTACTTTTATTTTCATTATTTTATTAAGCATATTTAAGAGATAATGTATTATTCTTTAAAATAAATATAACTAAATTAAATTCAAACTCCATTATATGTTTAAGTGTGTTTACATTTATGACTAGCATTTATTTATATGTCGGTGTTTTGAAAATTGAATTGAATTGACCGGTCTCATCGATTTGATTAAAAATTGATTTTTAATTGATTCGATTGATCTAAAGAATCATTTTGCATCAAATTGATAGAATCAGTTCAAAATTTGTAAAAATAAAATGGTCAAATTAATTTGAATTGATCTAATTAAAAAAAAGTATTTTTAAATTAATTTAAAATATTTTTATTAAAAATAATATTTAATAAAAATTATAAATTAGAATAATTTATTTGTAGTACTTATTTCAAAAATTTAATTAAACTTCATAAATATAATTTAATCAATACAAACTCATCTCATATACTTGAAATTTTGTAGGAAGAAGGGTCATAAAAGGGTCTTGTGATATTTGGACTTCCTAAACATGGTTAAATTAATGAATTCTAAGTTGGATTATCACCATGAGTACAACAATGAGATTATGCAGATGAAGCTCATGCTTGGGAGAGATTGGGTTTCCCTTCACCACATCTTCAAAGAAGGTTACAAATGTGAAAATATTTTGGCTAAAATAGGACCCAAATTATATAATGGTTGTCAGTGATTCTCTAAGCCCTCAGATGATCTCTATAACCACCTGCATGCTGATGTGAATGGTTCTTAACACTAGGTTGACCTGTGTTTTTGTTTTTTTCTCACTATAATAAAAAAAATATTAATTTATAATTTTTAATATCTTTATTTTTATAATTTATATTATATTAATTTGATACTTTTTATTTTAAATATAAACTTGTTATTATTAATAAATATTATTATATTTTATTAAAACTTAAATTTAAATATTATATTATATATAATTTAGAATTTTACACATATGCA